ATCTATCATTAAAATCCAGGAATTTATTTTACGTTCATCTGTATCGGAAAGAAAATTGTTTCTGAGATAAATGTCATGAAAGCTTTAAAACTACCGATAGGTGAGTGTTCCTAATTAATCTTTAAATGCACTACCAAAATTCGTTTGTCGTTTTTACTTGTTCTTAATTGCAGCAGACTATTGGATTTAAACGAAAGTTATATATTTAAAGTATTAAAATTTTACGAGGAAACTAAATGGGAAAAGTTCTGTATCAGACTTTACATTTCCTTAAATTAAATCTGACTACAGATTAACTTTTCATGCCTAGTTTCAAAAGTAAGCGCTCCTGATTCCGAGATTTTAATACCACTTAAGTTTTAATGCTCTTTTCCTACTCTTTGGCTCTAATATGGGAAACTGTGCATCATTTCCCTCTATCGATCTTAATATCCGTCGTTGATTTAACTTAAAACTTCTAGTGTTCCTATGACAACGGGAGGGGGGGAAGCTCTCCTTTATTTGCATAATGTTATAACTAGCCTGTTGCCTCCAGTTTGATGTCTTCTTTGCATTTACCTCTCCGCCTTTGTCTTGTCGATGGAAATTAACGATCCCAGAATGCACTGCTCACTCGAATGGGGACATTTTAGTATGTTTTATGTCATTATTAAAGTTTACTTGGCTAAGTTAAGCTTGGGTAAACGTTCAAAGAATATTGGCTCTTTCTTCATCCAAAGCCATTTTTATAAAGGATATTAAATGGCTATTCAAGTTCCAAGTTCCGCTGGTTGCGCCGCTGATTAACTTGCAGGATTTGGAAGTTTTGTATACATTAAATGGCATGACAAAGTATCGTTATAAAAAACTACTTTCTTGCGCATACGTTTTGTGTAAATTTTAAGTAATATTTTCAAAGAATATTCTTTATTTATGTAATATTTACTTTCAAAAAACATGGTAACGCACATTTAAAGCATAATCACTGCTTTATTTTACTATTATTAAATGAATAAAAAGTAAGATAAATAAAAGATAGTTAAAATTAATTTTGCAAGCAGTCTCACAGTGATCGTAATTTCAACAGTTCCACAGAATTGTTGTACGGCTAGCTAACTCACAGTTTCCATAAATACATTCAAAGGCACGTCTTGCCCACGTACTACTATGAACAAACATCTTTGATGAACCTGCGGATCATCTGTCCGCTTCCATTCCATCTCAGAATATCCGCTTGTCTGGAACGCGTCTAGTCTCCAGCACTTCCAACTCTCGTCTGTAGATTTTCAAGCTGGGCTACATTACGTCACGGCTCTGCTAAGTTGAAGTAGAAGTAAATGGTGTGGAAAGATTTATTTTTGTTTAGATAATTGATAAATAATTACTTAATACAATGTTAATGAAAGTTGCAATAATTTTACTATGGTGATTAACTTAAATTCACTTAAAAATTATTACAGTTTAATGCAAGTAAACTTTAAAATTTTTTTTACATAATTCTTAAATAGTTTACCTAAACAATTGTTAATTAAGTAGGTTTTTAGATTGCGTACAGTGGTATTTCTTTGCCAAATTTGAAATTACTGTTTATAATGGTGTCACATTTTTGGTATAAAATATGTGAATTTCATCATCAAAATTATCATTTATTACAATTACATTATTATTTATTGCAGCTGTTTACTGAAAAAAAATGGCGTGCAGATAAAAGAAATGTAGCATGTCATTTACATCAATTAGGGACTAAACTGTTCTAAAATTTTCACTGCAATGCTTGAAATAAGCTGAATTGTACGAGTTATTTTTTAATATACAATTGTAATTTTGTAATGCTTGAAATGAGCTGAATCTTTCCAGTGTTTTGTTTGTTTGTTTGTTTGTTTACAACTGTAATTTAACTATGATTTTTAGCATGGTATTAAAATCTGTGCGCGTCTATTAGTTTGTGGCATTATCTCCTTCGAAACGGTTGGGAGTTGAATTTCGAGAGATTCCAAAAATTTGTGGGAAGCCATTTCGAACATTCTCTAAAAACTCTGAAAACCGCACTCATGTTTCCGAGTGGCAACAGTCTTACGCGCTGGAGATAGAAATCTGCTTTATTTTGCAAGCTGGAATCCAAATGCTAATATCAATTTGTTGTTTTAAAAATTTATTTATAATTTTTAATATTTTAATATGTTTTTTATTTTTCAAAATTTAATGGAAACGATTTTTTGAGCCGTTATATTCTAATACAAAGTGTTCAGATTGCTGATTTTTTTTCCTTCATTTTTATAGTATTTTGTTTATGTTGAGTATAGTCAAGATGTTTCAAATTGTAGAACAGTCAAAAGATATTTTCTGTTCAATGCGCTAATCAAACGTATTTTCATTTTTTTAACCGAGATTAAAATATACTGCTTCATATAATCGCCGTTTAGTTGTGATTTAATAATATGAATCATAATTACTAATTCCAGAGAACATTTTTCAGGTGAATTAATCTGAATGTGATGGGCGTAAGTATAAATTGTAGCTCAAAAAGCGGGAGAAAATTGATTTCGTTAGCCGTATTATTTTCTTTCATCATTCATTTTTCATTTCATTTTTCGTTCTTAATCTTTAATTATGTTTAATTTAATCTTTTTTAAATTTAATTTTCAGTTGAAAATCAGGTAGTTGCCAACTCTTAGAAGGTATTTTAAATAAACAAATAGGAAACATTTTCATTGGTACTGTTAAATAATAACTGTTTCATTGGTTGTCTAAAACTGTTATTAAGGCTTGTTTAAATTTATTTGACAATAATTAACGCATTTATTTTCCTGAATATGGTAAAAATAATTTCAGACGGTAGGTCCATGTGCTCCATGTTCAACATTTATGTTCGGTAGAGATAAAAACTTTTCAAATACAACAGCATTCTCATTATTCAGATCATTGGCATGTCAGTGCAACATTATTCGTGATATATGTGTAACTAAGCTGTCTTTTAGCGCCAGTCGAATGCGTGTTTATAATAACTGTTAGTGTGAAAAATTTGTTTTATTTATTCCTGCTTATCATAAATTATTTTAAAGAAATTACAAAATTAAAAATGTAAAATATTCTCATTTTCATGAAACAAAATACAAAACATACTTTTATACCAAATTAAGCAGTAAAATTATTTTTTTATTTACCTAAACAGGCGTGCCATTCTTAAATAAACTAAAATAAAACAATGACATTTATTTTTATTTATATAGGTTATAAAACTAAACGTATTATTCCGTTTTTATTTTTTACTGCATTAAATTAAACAGAGAAATACTTTTTGTGTAAAACAAAATATAGAATTTACTTCTGCTCTACTAAAATTGAAATAAAAAGTTACATTTGTGTTGATGTAAAGTAATTAATTAACCCTATAATGCATATTATTAAATTTTTGCTGTAAGTGTTTGAGATAAATTTATCCCTTTCTTAAAACTTATAAATAAAATATTACTGTCATCAAAATGTATCAAAAATGATTTTAAAAAACATGTATCCTCTTCAAAGTAATAGGTGCATTATTGTGATGCAAAAGCCGTGAATTATATCAACACGAACAGCTCGTTTGCTATGAATTGTTCCACGGAAACGCTGCAGACTCAAATAATATGCTTTGATAAAAGTTTGGGCCAGTTACTCGGCATTAAGGCAATATTATCTTCATTTCTGACCAATTTGTTCTTCGCAGTCATGCTTCACATCTCGAGTGCCATTCATTTGATTGGTGAGTTATTTTTAATGTATCAGAAGCAAAGAACTATGTTTCATCACTGGTCATAATGTGCTTTAGAAAGTCTTGCTTGAAAAAGCATCTCTTGGATCACTTTAACTCGTTGTTCTTTTTGGAAAACATTCAATGTTTTCGAAACATTTCGGAAAGAAACCCAGAGTTTAAAATGCGCAAAAGGCGATATTATTCAGTTTTCGAGATAAATCTTATTTATGAAGAAACCACGAGGACGAGAAGAAGATGAAATTAATGAAAAGGAAATGGAGAATTTAAAAAGAAATAATTCATAATGATGGATTTCATATTTGTCCTATATATGAAGAATGAAGGGAACATAACGGAAGTTACAGGAAGAGAAGAAGCTGCTGAGTAGAAGAAGCTTAAGGAATTGGGATATAGATGAAGATACTCCATAGTTTAAGGATAACTAAAGATTTATTGTAGTATTCAAGATGATATAGCTAATGAAGGACTACTTAATCGTTTATGGAAAGGCAGAAGAAGGAGGCTTCAAAGGAAAAAGATTTTAAAGGGAAAAGGTATAAAATTACAAATAAAGGTTTCAAAGGAAAGGCAGAAGAAGACGGCTTCAAAGGAAAAAGATTTAAAGGGAAAAGGTATAAAATTACAAATAAAGGTTTTAAAAAGAAAAAGGAAATTTTTCTGTAGAAGATGGAAAGCGTATGTTAACAAGTAATTCATTAAGATGGATTTCTTATTCGCTATATTAAGTAAAAAGATAAAGGATATATAGGAAGAAAATACATGTAAAATGGAAGAAAGAAATTAAGATAGAAGAAAGGAAGATTTAACGAAGATTATATGAAAGAAAGATTAAAGGAAAGAGAAGAACGAAAGAGAACTTCTTGAAGAAGAACGAGGGAATAAGTTTCAAACGTTTTTTACTAAGGACAAATTTCGACATTTTATAAAGAATTACTTACAAAGATACACTTCATGAAGAACTATAAAGTACTACTTTAAGATTTTTATTTTTATTTTCTTTTTATATGGCACTATATGGCAATGTAAACACCTTTGATTTATTAATAAATACTAGACAAGGGCGGACGTGGGCAGAACCGATTAATCGTAATGGTAGAGGGATGGTGCCCACGTCCTCCGTTACTACTACTACTACTACTACTACTATTTTTTGCACTTTTGATTTGCAACTATGATTTGAAGTTTAACTGAAAGAATGAATTTCTGTATTTGATAAGTATAGCATTCTTCATCTGTGTATTAATATTATGTGTTCTTTTAAATTTAGGAATTCTGACGGAACGAGCAGATTTCCGAAGCTAGATGAGTGCGCTCATTTCCACTACGATAATGTTGAACTTGGACCAATAAGTGTAAGTATTTTTTCACATATTTTTAAGCATATGAGTAGTATTTAAACTATGAAGCTGACATTTAAAGAAATTTTTGCCTCTGAATTTTATATGTGAAATTCAATTGCTAGTACTCAGGCGCATTAAATAAGTTTTATAGCTGTGATTGTATGGACAAAGCCACTCTTTTATGGGATGATATCAGAACCATTCTCTCACTGAACTGAATCAGGTCTCTCTTTCGACTCATCGCGGCCCACCAGCGGCCGAGCGGTAAAGTCGCTGAACGCTGGTAGTTCGGTCCAAGGTTCGAATCCCGCGAACGGGCTGGCTGCATGGGCGTTTTCGTGGTTTTCCCCATGTGTAACGTGTATATGAGCCAGTTTCCCTTAGAAAGTCCTCCACGAAGGCATCCCTCCCCTTAGGCAGATAGCCCTCGTGTGCTTTGCCATAATTAAATACACCTTACTACTCATCGCTCACTAACAATAGAAAAACATCGGGAATGAGAATTGAACCAAGAGCGGTTAGTGAGGCTGGAGCCGAGAACGGAAAGAATCGATCGAGTAATGGGATCGGGAATGATTAGCGAGGTTGGAGCGAAAAGAATCGAACAAGCAGTGGGATCGGATGAATGAACTCAATCAAACGCTAACTCCCTGAACTGATTTATTTCAAAGTTAAGACCCCTAAAACTTCCTTTATCCACAGACCAAACACTAAAATTCTAGAATTAAAAAATGTTTACTTAAGTTGGCAAATGATAAAAATTATATTCACTTTTAGCATGGGAGACTAAACATTCTTATATAACTTTCGTGTTAAGCTTCCAACATGAGCTCTCAATAGGTAACTCTAAAAGGGTCTCCGCTCTTTTTTGCGACTCAAGCGCAGAGGCGTAGCTAGGGTTTTCAGCGTCCGAGGGCAACTGAAGATTTCGTACCCCCTTCTGTTTGCAGAAACGCATTGTGGAAGGGAAAGAAAAGGCCCCCTGAACGCTGTGCTTGGGGACAGACATACCTCTTGACTTCCATAGTTACGCCACTGATCGGGTGTTCGCTTACTCAGTAATGTGAATGAGTTCATGAGCGAATAGCACATCTTTGTTTCTGGCATGCTTCCAACAAGAGCTCTCTGTGAACTGGAGTCGTGAAAGAGCTACTACCACTTCACTTCCTGAAATCAATGTTCATTCGCTCAATAAAGGAATCGATTCTTTGAATAAATTCCGGAGCGAAACGTTCAACTCTAGATGAAAGCGGGAAGTGAGCCGTTACATCAACATATTGCTTTGAGTTTGTGTTTCAAAGATTCGAGCATCAGTTGCTAAAGTGTAGTCTCAGTCTGGTAGTGTTTGATTGTCTAGTGTTGGCAGGGCTTTCTTTCTAAAATCAGAATTGCCAAAGCCCCATGGAAGACCGACGGGAAGGAGCGAAAATTAAATAAATAAAGTAATAAAATGACTAGTGATTAAAATAATTAAAGAATTAAATTAAAATTCAATAAAATATAAAGATATAAATAATTTTCTTATAAATTATTAAACTCATGATAAATAGTTAAATAAAATACCGGCTTCATCTTATTTGGAGCTCCGGCTGGACATACAGTCTTATTTAGAAAACTGAGCAATGGCTTAGCCGGCCTCCGGCTGAATTCAAGGCCTGAATATACGGTATAACGTAGTATTTCTTGGGATGAGAGAAAAAGAAATATTGTTTTGCCAGAACGATAGTGGAAAAAAAGTAAAACGGTTAAAACGTCACTAATGAGAATCGAAAGAATGCTAGACACAATATGAGAGCATGGAAAGAAATTTTAATGGAGAAGTGTACTTCAAAAGCACAGACAGAGTAGTCTTAAGCTTTCTGGTCACGATGTCCTGCCCATATAATTTTAGCTGTCAAGCAGATTGTGGCTGGACAAAAAAATTCCCCCCGAATCCGTCCCGATACGTATGCGAACAAACGTCAGTTCTGCACAAGGGACAATTTTTGTCCCTCGTATTTGGTTACACAGTTCAAGTCTGCAGAAGCTCTGCAGTGAGAGATCTCTAACGCTGGAAGTGTACGGCCAAGGTAACCAGTACTTTCGTGAACAAATCATTTCACCCACTTTCATAAATTCGTTGCATTGCCTGGCGAATAATCCTTTGATGTGTGGATGGAGGATTTTCTATCCTTAAAAGTCTTAACACCTCCGTCCTTTTTTTCCCCAGAGGAAGACTGGCATGAATTCGGAAGTTACTTGTATAATCGAATTATAACGCATATTTATTTTTAAAATAAAATGCGCCCGCTGAAACTGTATTTCATTTACATAAAAAATTCTAAGTTACCGTTGAAAGTGGAGAATCTTAAGAACTGATAAGCGAATAATCGCTTGAGTTCCTGTGACAGGTGACGGATGACGGAGGATTGGGACACCTGGCGTATAACATAGGTAAACAGGCATATGTCCCACGTCCTCCACTATCTCGAAGAAGCAACTCGCTGGAGCCCCGTAAGGCTGCACCGGGAGTTTACATGGCCATACAAGGTCTAGATGTCAAGTAGATTTTACATAGGACGTGTTAATAACACAAGTAATTTAAAAGAATATAAAGGATAGCATTAAAAACCTAAAACACACATATAAGCTGAAACACATAGATATACAAATTAAACGTAAAAGCATAAAAACACACTCGTAATTACGGAACATAAAGACATAAAAACACACACGAGAATAACATAACATGACACATAGAATACGTACGGAAACACGTAGAGTACATAAATGCAAATATTGCACACAGAAGAAACATGTGAGATATAGTAAGGTGCGCGTAAAGCAGAAGCGCTATGTGGAAATATGCTCAGTACCCATAATACATAAATGTACATACTTTCATTAGGGGCTTCTGTTGCATGATTTATATATTTTGTTGCATACACTGCATTGGTGTATTGTACGGATATTATATATTTCGATTTACGATAACACATCATTCCATTGGGTGCCCAGTGCTTTACCAGATAAACATGTCAGTAACATTATTTCTGCACGTTGCTGGCTATTGAAAGCAGATGATTACATCAGGCTCGAAATTGAATGTGGCGCTTACAGAATGTGTACATACTACGAATACCTAATCGTTGAGTACATTGTATGCAGTACCATGCTATTGTGGCTCGCAATGTTCTGACAGGAAAGACAAGATAGAAGGGTAAAATAATCCTTTATTATTCTAATCAAGTGTAACAGAACTCCGTCTTGGAGTTGTACAATAAAGCCGACACTCGGACTTGGACTTAAGAGACTAAGAATTAAACTAAACTAATCTTAACTAAAAAAGATATAGCCGAAGCTAACAAAGTTGGTGGCCCTTTAACGCTAATTGTCTGCGAAGCTATCAAGGGCCTAAAGTACGGCCGAGCGTAATAATAGCTTACGAGAGAGTAGCCTAAAAAGGCGGACGCGTGCAGCCAGAATATCTCGTATTTCTCTCTCTAAGACACTAGAACTTCGCGGTTAAATACCGCTCTTCCTCATTAGCATTCAGACGTGATTTTAAAACTACGTTCTGGCCGGAAGTGGTAAGTTGAAATTAAGAAGCGATAGGAAAGGGAGTTTAACTCAAAATTTAACTGTTAATAAAATTAACATAATCCTTACAATGCATTGATTTTCTATATAATTATATATATTATATAATTCAGAAACAGTGAAGATAGAAATAAAGTAAAAAATAAAGAGTTTATGATGAGAAATTTTATGATATGAGAAAAGGTGTATAATAACGTAATGATAAAGGCAAATTTCTTTGATTCAAGAAAATGCAGGAGAAGGGTTGTGGAAAGGATTTTAATGAGTTTCTTGTCGTAATCGTGGAGCAAACAAAAGCGTTATTAAAATCAGCCGCTTTTCTGATTTCATATTTGGAGAGATTTTCTTTAATAATTAAAATCGGAACCAAAACGAAATTTGAAACGAAATTGCGCCACATCAACAATATTTCGAGTAGACTGAGTCTAGTAAACAAATCCATGTAAACAGAATAATCCAACGCATGAAGAAAAATTCATACGAAAAAAGGAAAAGGGGGAAAAAATGAAAGGAAAAGAGAGAAAGAAAAGGAAAAAAAAGGTTAGTTTTAAAAAACTGTAATAATAGAGTAATAATCGTTTTGAAATTGGAAAAAAAAAAAAAAAACTAATTCAACAGGGCTAGTATGATAATACTGGTGTGATGTCTTAACTCTTAATTAATAAAATTAATATAAAATTTTGAGTTGATTAAAACATTAAATTAAAAACAATTATAAAAAACTTCTGAGGTTGCATTAAACATGGTGTAGTAAAAATGAACAATTTGTAAAAGGAAAAAAATCTGTTATTTATTATATATGTAAATTAATATTTATTATTAATAATTAATGTAAATGATTGCGTTACATTTATTTACAACTTTTCCCTTTCTTTTTTTGAAAGAAAATCTATGGCATGTAGGTAGCAATAAATTGCAAAAGTTCATTAGCAGGTATTTCGAGATTCTAAAATAATTGACAGACTTTGGATTAAAGGTATTTCAAAAAGACAAAAAAACTAACTTGAATTTTAAAATTACTAACATTTCAACCTTAGATATGGGCATTAAAGAAAAGAAAAAAAAAAAAAAAAAAAAAAAGGAAAAAGTCTATTACTTTGTACATATTGAAATAATGTTGCACATATCACCTATATTTTCAGTAATCAGCGGCATTTTAAATTGAAGCGTACGTAATTTTATTTGTAATTTTCCTGCATTTTTAGTGACAATACAATATTATAAAGATAATAGTTTGAAAAATTAGTATATATATATATTTTTTAATCTACGCTATTCCTTCATATAGTATTTCCTATTGCTTCTTCAGAACATTTTATTTTCAATAACTGCCACCAGATGGCAGGTCTGCGTAAGACATAACAGTGCAATACGGTGTGAGCAGAACCTTTTGCTGCAGACGCTGCGAATTCTGATTTCTGCTGCTCGGTTTT